GAAACGAGGATCCAGTAGGGTAGCAGCCCAGTACTGAACATCTGTCTTCACAGCATTCAAATGTCGACTGAGGCTCAGTTCATTGAGCAGACATGACGCAAGGCAGAAGGCCGGGGTGTCCAGCTCTGCACCTGTCATAGTGTGGGTGACTGTTCTCTCGATGAATGTGAGAAGGGGCAACACTTGTCCCAGCGTCGACGTGTCCATGCAGAGGAGGCGTGTTGCCTCCTCAAACGGCTTCAAAACGGTTGCCATGGCCTTGAGCAGAGCCCATTGCCGTGGCGCAAGGTAGTGCTTCGTGCTGTCTTCGAAGAACTCGCTGACAGCTCTCCGCTGCTCAGAGAGTCTCTCAACCATGTAGAATGTGCTGTTCCATCTGGTGGGAACATCTTGCAGAAGTTTGTGAACTGGCAGCCCGTGACGAAGTTGGATAGCTTCCAGTTGCCTCTGGGCACTCGCAGAGTGTCGGAAATGGCCAACAATGGCACGTGCTGCCTTGAGAGTCTCCTCCAGCTCTGCACCAGACTTGGTCAGCGATGCTTTTACTACCAAGTTAAGGCAGTGGGCCATGCATGGTGCGCGCTTCATCCCTCTGTCGTTCAGTGCTTTCACCACATTTTGTGCATTGTCGCTTGTTACAATGCCCACTTTCACCCCCAAAGGGACTAGCCATGTCTCTATGACATCCTCGAGCTTCTTGCCGATGTTGTACGCCGTATGCTGCTGTCCAAACCCGGACATGTCGAGGACGGCATTGTTTCTGGTCAGGGATCCTTTGGAGTCTGGAGCTATCCAGTGTGCCGTCACAGACATAAAGTCATTGACTTGGCGGCTCGACCAAATGTCGGTTGTCAGGTGGACTTCCCCCACGCACTCTTTAAGTTGTACCTTTAAAGCCTCTGCAATGACAGTCTCCAGCGCTGGGATGGCCGAGTTTGCAAAATAGCCCCTGCTCGGAATGTTCCATTTCGGAACACAGAACCGCATAAAATCTATGAATGCAGGGTCTTTAACCATGGAGAATGGCTTCATTGACTTTGCTATGTATTCTGCCAGTTGCTTGTTGTGCGCCATTGCCAATGGGTGCGTCGAAGTCCAGCACTGCTTGCGATTCATGGCCTCTAGTAAGGTCAGCTGGGTCTGGGGTGATTTTGCAACACAGGATGTTACGAATGATGCTGCTGGTGTTGATGCAGACGTTGCTGTTGGCGCAGCAGGAGTCCTCTTTAACAAGTGGGGATGGTTTCGCTTCATATGATTATGAAGTGCAGTTGTTCCAATCTTTTGGCATCCACCTTCTTTTCCAAGCCGTACAGTCTTGCGGCATTGTTTACATACTGCCTGATACTGGCCTGTTCTCTCGAAATGGACCCATATTGATGATTCTTTTGCACGCTTGGCGGGTGGGGGCAGGTTCCGGTCCTCGTGGATATCTGGACTGGGTCCACTCTGTGGCGCTCTGCTGCTGGAACTCAGTGTTTGGTACACTTGAGCGTCCACTGGAGGTGTCAGCGCTGGATCTGATAATTAAAGTTTAAAAAGAGTAACAAATAGTTATGTAGGTGATTACCATGTACCTCATAGCTACTGTTTTTTTGGATCACTGCAATTGGATCTACACAATTTTTGCATAGAGTAACGCTGGTGTGCATGATGTAGTTATGAAACTTCCATTATTTGAGTGCCTGCAGTTCCATATTTTACATAGTGAATAAGCTCCTCAAAGACAAGAACAGAAAACCAAGACGACATTGAGCACTACTTACAACTGTATTGTTTATTGAAAAACGCTATCTGTACACAAAACTGGGCTCCTGGCATAAGGCGAACTCATCAGTTAGATGCAGCGACGATGCACTTCTGCCTACCGTGTTTGCTCACTAGTCAAGCCCTTAAAGCGCAGAAAAAATTGCAGTCTAGAGAAGCAAAGGCTGACTAAGAATAATTATGAGCAAGAATCAGTTGCCATTCTAAAAAAGAGGTTACGCTGATATCAGGCGGTAATATCTTGTGTGCTGAATTTACGCCCTAAGCAGTTGTGTCGATTGGCAGCGTACATCTAAAAATGAGATCTGATGAAATATAATTTGACTTGGTTACTTTTGGTAATACAGCTTTAATATTGTTATGAGTTTTTTGGCATATCAGTATTAAAGAGGACATTTGTGTAGCCTTGACCACCACCCTGGGTGTGCGAGCTCACAAGTGCCCGTAGCTTTGACTACACCGCCAAGAAAGTTGTCCCCAAGTATAGACTTTATTCTAGCAGCTAGATGTATGCTAAATATATAATACCTTGAATTATTGCAATCTCGAAGCCCTCCAGTCCTTCTATTCCTCTTAAGACATACACAGAACCTTGGTTGGAACTGGTCTCTTGTGCAGGTTCAGGAGTTTCAGGAGGCCCCGTTGCTTTGTCACTCTCCGTGGCTTTGTCAGGAATTTCCCTTTCAGAATTAAAAAAGTTTTTTTTTTATTATTTTAGTATAAGTTGTTTACACAATGCCTATGTGCCACATCAGTCACATTTTAAAACAACCGAAACATACTTTGGGGTGGCACATCACAGGTTATTCTGCAACATGCATTGCAACATGAGAAACATTGTTGCACCATTACAGTGTCCAGACAGAGAGAGTTCGGAATAGCAGGGTATTTAGACATTCCACTTAAATGTGCCCGGAATATGACTGAGGCCTGTTGCAGAAAGGTGCCATGTAATTCAGGTTAGGGTTGCACATCAAAATATCTCCAGATAGTTCAAGTAATCCTCAGCCCACCGCCTGGGCGTGCCAGATGCCCTTAGTTGGTTTTGCATGTAAACCCCAAACCTACACTGCATTCCACTTAAATGCATGAGGAATAATTACCCATGCTGCATATCTTTTCCTCTTCTGAAATATATTCATGTAATCTCAATGCCAAATTTGATTGAATTTAGCTGAATAAATATAAGACTTAGTACATTCTTTGTCTGGAAGGTATTAAAATTTACATTAATAGGTACACCCAATGCCGCCCACCTCAGTCTTGGGTACTTGTTGCTCTATTTAGCTTCCGAATATAGTGCTTTGCGAGCATGTTGTACAGGAGGTAAGTTGAACCACCCTTGTCAGGTTAAGGTATTTAACGTTTATATTATTAATTAATTCACTTATTTATTTATAGACAAGCTACCAAGCAGCTACGATCGATGTAGTTCTGGCAATAAAAATACATTGCATTAATGTAATTTGAGGTGAAAACGACCGCATTTTTGTTTAGTTTCAATTGTGTGCACATGTTATTTTGTGCGTACTTAAACTTCAATACGACAATTTTCCCACATTAAAATGCACGTTTAATGCTGCACACCTGTTCACGTACCAGTTATGCTCAAATAAAAAATGAAAGCTCATATACTTACAGTAAAATGGGGGATTCCCTGTCTGCCGAACGTCCCGAAGAATCGTGTAGCTCCATTGGCTCCATCCTTGAAGTGCGAAACCGTAATACCCGCCGAAGTCGGAGCAGTCAGAGCTTTGGGAAGGGGAGGAGGAGGAGGAGGAGGGGGGGGGGGGGGGGCGCACTTCGATGGTTTTCTATGCGTGAACTTTATTTGATGAAAGAGAAACACAACACAGGGGTGTCCAACGCAACTTTATTGTTCGGAAACAAACACTAACTAAATCGGATGTCATTAACCAGAAAGGTACAAATGCAGTACAGGAGGCTCCAACACTACAGCGCAAGGAGTTTCAGATTGTTTCCCGTGTTCCGATAACAGTACCTCAGTGGACACACGATGGAGATAATCGAATCGAACATAATCACTTGCGTGGTGTGTGCCACTATGACCGTAATTATGGGCACGAAATCTGTCCGTACCGAACAGCACGTACGGCATCGATCTCTTGCGGCGATGAAAACATGCGGACATGCGCTTGCATTTCCACCTGCACCATACGTGCACCAAGAACCGAAACCAATTTTCCCGCGATGTCTGGCTACCATTCTCGACAAACATCCAAAATATTATAAACGAAGCGGAACATTTTATTTATTACTATACTAATATATTGCAACATTATTTTGTGCACTTTGTAGAATTTAGTGAATTTAATATCACGAAAAGTTAAACACTCGTCAACGTAATCTGGCAATCATGGCAACGCTCCGAATTTTTTCGAACTTTTCCGAATCTCTCGAGATTCGGCTACTCTTCCGAATGTTTCCGAATCTTCAGATTCGGCTCCGAATCTCGATTCGGATAAAGATTCGTCCCATCACTAGAATCCACCACTATCCGCACTCGGGGTGCGAATAGAGCACTATATAGCTCCTACGGAGCAGAGTAGCGCAATCCTTTGAACCCCGTGTTTTGCCGACAACATGGCCGACAGAGCAGCTCGGCGCAAGTCACGTGGTACTCAGGGTTCCAAGAGGCGGCCCGCCCTATGGGAGAATACATGGAGATCGACATAACACGGCTGATTAAAAAAATAACAGCAAGTTCACATTTTTCAAAACTAGCCTGTCGTGAAGTTAGTAAAGCGCTGAACACTTTATCAAAGTTTGAATAATATCGGATGCGTGTGCAAATTTTGAGAAGGCAATTTCCAGGGCAATGGCGTTTGAAGCAGACGATGTTTGCTCGCAGCGGAGATGGGCTTTTCGGGTTGGCCGGAGCGGGTCACGTGAATGGTGTGACGTCGCCGTGTCGTCTGCTGCATGATGCCGCTCAGGCAATTTTTTAAAAAAAGTTACGTCCTTGCATGGCACAAAACTTATCGCAAATTATTCTAAAATGTTTCATTATTATGTCAAAAATGATTGCCATTCCGTACATCCCCACAAAACTGAAGGAACAACGATTTTCTCACGTTCTCCATGCATTTCTGACCGCAGTTGGAACCTCCGGGCGTTCGCCGCTAGTCGCCGAGAGACGGCGTTCTAGATTGCGCTACTCTCTCCGAAGGAGCTATATAGTGCTCTAGGTGCGAATAGGGACAGCCCAACGCAGCAACCCAAGCACCCCAGTAGCAGAGCAGCTGAGCGGATTGATTACTTACTACTCAGCGGTACCATGAGCTCTGACCTCGAGTACCCCGAGCATGACCTCGAGCGCGTTCAGAAGAGGGATGCTTGCGAGTAGGACGGCACTGTCGCCACGCGCGACGGCACCACCCCTGCGCACCGGAACGAGGAGTGCGTCGACCGTGTCGGACAGTGCCGAAAGAAGACGGCGACGACAGCTGTACGACCGCATCTTACGGGTCAACCACGCCGGTGAGTTCGGCGCCGACCGCATCTACGCCGGTCAGCTCGCGGTGCTGGGATCCAAGTCTGAGGCCGGCGCGCTGGTCCGCCACATGTGGGAGCAGGAGAAGGAACACCTGAAGGCCTTCGAGGACCTCCTGTCGCGCAACAGGGCCAGACCCACGGCGCTGCTGCCCCTGTGGAACGTCGCCGGCTTCGCGCTCGGGGCAGCGACGGCGTTGCTGGGCAAGCGTAGCGCCATGGCTTGCACGGTGGCCGTCGAGTCTGTCATCACGGAGCACTACACGAGCCAGATCAGGGAACTGCTCGCTGATCAGGGGGACACCCAGCGCCACAAGGAGCTGCTAGACGTGATCAGCAAGTGCCGCGATGACGAGCAGGACCACCACGATGTTGGGCTCGCGAACGAGGCGGCCGAAGCTCCCTTTTACCAGCTCATGACGAGTGTCATCGGGGCTGGCTGTAGAACGGCCATATGGGTGGCTGAGAGGATCTGATCACTTTCCTGGCCCTTGCTGCAGGCACAAGCACTGGTGTGCCTTCAGATGTGTGAGACATTTAGAAAAGTTAACCTGAATTTCTTCTGTTTGTTTAAGCTCTCTCTTCATTTGTCGATTGCTGCTTAAGTGTTGCCTCGGTTAGTCCATAGTGAGACTGGTTAGACTCGGAGCCGTACATTGGGAGAGTATGGCCAGTTAAAGATCTTGCCGCCGTAACGACCCCCTCCCGAACGAGCCAGCAGCTTGTGGCGCAGAATGAGAGGCGCGAATGCACGCGCATGAACTCCCTGCTGCTTCCAGGTGTATGGGGAGGGCAGCCATTTACGTTCATTCGCCCAGTGGAATGCATGGGACTGACATCCAAATTTCGCCTCTTTCCCTTTATTTCGCTGGCTCTGGCAAGAAAATTATATAGTGTCAGTCCTTGGTGGGTTAAAAAGCTAACGAATAAAGTTTTTTCGCCGTTTAACCGCAAACTTTTATTCAGGTGAAAAAGAAGTCAGCCCGTAGCAGACGACGCATAGCCTCAACAGTGCTCCGCGCCAAAAGTGTACTGCGTCAAAATGGCAGGCATTTCCTCTTTGCTCTCTCCTTCCTCTCTCGCTCCTTTGGTGCTCTCTCTCTCTCTCCCCCCCTTCACTTTTCTCATCTCCACTGCCTTCGTTGCCACATCCACTGGCCAGACTCTCCCAATATACGGCTCTGGTTAGGCAATGGTGCCATGCCATCTCAAAAACATGTGCCTTTTGGAAATTTGAGAGACTTAACATGTGGCTAAAGAAATGGAAATGATTTATGCAATAAATGGAACGGTGAATCAGATTCTGCCCTGTCGAAGGTTCATTTTACGTGCTCCAACATTTTTTGTTACTGCAAGTAATTTGTTTTTTATTTTTGTGCAAATAGTGAAATATTAATTGGAATAAAATCAAATTTGAATAAAACGTGCAGAGGAGCTGGGGGGGGGGGGGGGGGGGGGGGGGCAGGAGGAAGAGAAGGAGACGAGAGCGTGCAAGAAGGTCGGAATGCTGAGCTCTCGTTCGAATGATTATTGGGCAGACCTAAAGCTAGCTAGCTGTCTTTGTCTCCACTGCACTCGTCGAACGTTTTAAAATGCGGTCACCTAGCTGTGCTTGGAAATTTGTTTGTCCTTTGTTCCCGTTCTTTATGGATTACCGTAGAATACTGCGCATCTGCCCATTCCACAGTGCCCATTCCCGAATTTGTTGTAAGATCTGAGAAAATATGCACAGTACATCGATTTGTAAAATTGATGACCGGACAAATGCCCATCCACCATTTTTTCGTGATTATCTCTAAATTTTGAGTGGGCGCTTGCCCGGTATTTTAGGGTATTATTTTAATTTTTGTTCAGCTCGCTTGCACCTTTGCATTAACTGCATTATTATCAATCTTAAAATGCAGACCGTTCATCCTTGTTGGTGTTAGACTGGTGGCAGCTCATAAAACCAGTTTGCTCTACTGACATCTAGCCCCTGGTTAGCTCAGTTGGTAGAGCACTCCACTGGAAATGGAGAGGTCCCGGGTTCGATACTCGAACCAGGCGGACCTTTTGGGTTGCGCACCAGTCACTTAGCTGTGTTTGTCCTTTGTCCCCTTTGTTCCCCTTCTCCAGGGATTATTGTTGTCGTTCTTGTCCAGCTCGCGTGCACCTTGCATTGATTGCATTACTGTCAATACTGGTTATAACGAAGCTAACGAGAATCGGAAATCGTTTAGCTATATCTGCTTCTTCGTTATATATGAACTCATACAAATACCATTAAAAAAAAAAGATAGCATTAGTTGTCACGGGCATATGTTTATCGAGCCTGCAGAAAGCGATCGAGGCTTTCCTCACGCATCCTCTGCTAGATAAGAGCAGCTTCTCGCCAACTGCGAGAAGCTCCGATTGGAAAGACATCTTGCTACGTAAGTACCGTGTCGACAGCTGCGATGGCCCTGCGGAGGACACCGGTGGTGGACGGCGTTCTTTACGTTTATGCGCACTCCATTGAGGATGGCATGCTCTTGATTTAAGGAGATTGCCCTTCTCTTCCCTGTCGAGGTGCCGGCGGTGCCGGGACTCTCCATAGTTGAGTGGCGATGATTTGCCAAGTCGGTGCTTGAGCGAAGTAGACTTCTGCGCAAGAGCGACCTCACTGACCAGACGCCGACATAGATTGCAAAGCAAACAAAGAAGCGCGTACGGCACCGAGTTCGCACTCAAGCTTGTCTGACGTCGGTATAGTGGAGAGCTTAGGTTTAGGAGATGGGGGCAACTGCTCGATCGGGGGTCACGTGCTTTGTGGGCTGTGTTTGCAAACCGAGCTGCAGCATGCAAGGAGTCAAAGCTCGAAAGCGTTCACCTTCTGCAAACATGTTCGCCTCTCCGCCCAGTTTTCTCGCCACACTGGCCACGTGACAATGAAATGCATGCGTACTTGCTGCTCCCTCTCTCAAGTCTAGGCTCGTCCGTCATCTCTGCCGGTACGTTGTCACTGGAGGCGGTAATACGATGCGGTAAAACCACTTTCCAGATAAGGAGCAAGGAGCGGACGACGTTGTAGAGGCTGCTGCCAAAGGCCTTTCCAGCATCTTCTGCAGCCTGTTCTGGGCGGCTTCTTGGCCACTGCAGCAAAGTGCGGAGGCCTGTGACTTAGTAAACTTTCTAAATTTTATTTATTTATTTATTTTTTTAAACTATCGCAGAAGGTTGTGTATCACTACTGCATGGTGCACATAAAAGACCCCAGGGGGGCTATGTTCGACAAATGTTTCGTTTCTATAAAAGAAACGGAAGTGACGATATCGCTTCTGATTGGTTAGAGGCATAAATGACGAAAGTTCCCTTTTTCGTCATTTGAGCCTCTAACCAATCAGAAGCGATATCATCACTTCCGTTTCTTTTTAGAAGAAACGAAACATTTGTCAACATAGCCCCCCTGGCTAGCGGTTGTACTGCACTGGCTAAATTGCTCATCTACAGCTGGGAGACTCGTCGCCTTTGGAGGCAGACCAAGTTTTAAGTTGTGTAAACACACAATCAAATCTTTTTTTTTTTTTTTGGAAAGACGTTTACAAACGGCTTGTAAAGAAGTTGTTGATTTCAAGGAATAGTGTATGTTTTAGCAATATGTCCGTTGCACTTCCCAAACCTATTAAAATGTTTCTTGACACTTAATTATAATCATAATTGTTATTATTTTTTTTCTTTTTGGATTAGTCATCAGGTCGACCGCAAGTTGGTGGGAAGTAGAGTCACTAAATAAGCTACGCTTTTGTTTAGTAACTTTATTTAGTGACTCTAGTGGGAAGGGGTGTGGTTGAGTGGTTGAAGAGCTTGTTGCTTCCATTGTGTTGGTTGCTTACCTCTGGTAGAGTGTGCGTTGGTTCTTTTGGGTATGTTCCTAGAAACTAGTGTCCTCATGTCGTTCGCCGGGGTCTTTCGTTCTTATCTTCCTTGTTCTTTTCTGCCACGGTTGTGTGACCTTGGCAACATGTGTCTTTTTGTGGGCCTATTAACCCCTTGCCTACTAATAACGAGTGTCACTTGTGCCGCCATTTACGAACCATAAAACCCGACCACGAGTGTGACTCGTGTTTCGGTTTCAGAGCTTGTTTTGTGAGCTCTGCGGCAGATGGCAGCACTACCCCTGTTGTGTTGCTCCTGTTTACCTTGGGTTCTTGTTTGCTTTGCCTTTTGACAGAGAGAGGGCGCTCCATTGACAAAAAATAAGCGCGCTATTGTAAGCAAGCGCGCCAAAAACATGTCTTCGGCGCGGAGGTCTGCTTTGGCGGACGAAGATATACAAAGACTTCTTTTTGAAAGTGATGAATGCGCCAGTATTTCCGACGACGAATCCTGCTGCCTTTCCGATTACTCGGAATCCAATGAGAGTTCAACGGATAGTGAGGAAAGTGTTGAAAACTATGCGAATCCTGGAAGCATTTCATCGACTTCGGCGTCTGCACGTCAGTGGAACTGGGAGAAGAGGGACAACCAGCCTGCTCAGTTCACCTTTGTAGAAACCCCAGGTGTGTCAGCAAGGGTTCAACGCAGTCTTGGTGAGAAGACAAGCGCCTTGTCGACCTTTTCCATGTTTGCAAGTCATGATTTTTGGGCGTCTGTCTCTGCTGAGACAAATCACTACGCCGAACAAGAGATGGGCGACGAGGATCATCCCAAGAAATGCTATGAGGAGCAATGGTTTGACACCACTCCAGATGAGATAAAGGCATACTTTGCCTTGTGCATCATTATGACGCAAGTGAAAAAACACAGTCAAAATGAACTGGTCCAAAAGGTCCGTAGTGGAGACCCCGATTTTCGGCAAAACGATGTCCTATGTGAGGTTTCTGCTAATCTCTCGATTTCTATCATACTGTGAAGAACTACTGAAGAAGAGGAGACGACCAGAAGTCCTGGTGTAGAGCACAAGACTACGCCTGAAAGCCAAGGAAACGTTTTTCTTTATTTTGACGCAAATTGCTTGATTTAAATAAAGCTTTCTGTACGATCTTTAAAGAAAAAAAATGAGTAGGCAAGGGGTTAAGGAAGTGCTATGAAAACTAAATCTTTGGCTGCGTTCATAGTTTCGTCGTTTCGGGTCTGTCCGTGCTTTATTTTTTTTTTTTTTTGTTCCCTTGCTACAGGGTTACAATGTATATACTTTTTTTTTCTTCTGTTTTTCTTAATTTTCATGTGAACTCAACCAGGGTTTTCCCCAGTTGAAATTAGGGGGGGAGGGCATTGAGTCGTTGCGAATTAAGTGGGCCTCCAGAAAAACGGGGGGGGGGGGGGGGGGGGGGGAATCACTGAAGTCAACCTCTTCTCTCACTTTCGTTTGTTTCCCCGTTCTTAACAGTTTGGCCCCTTTTCAGGATTTGCTTCTGTGCCCTTCTCGTTTTGTTTGTGTCGGCAAGTGAAAATGATGCCAAAACCAACAATCAAATATACCCGCGCTTTTCAGTGCCGTGACATCAGGGGAAGGCAGTCGAGGTGAACTATGCCGAGCATTTGTTTCGTGCTTTTGTAGAAGCTCAGGTTCTACAAAAATCCGCGACACTCCAACGTAGAACAAAAAAAAAAAAAAAAAAAGCGATCGTTATTTCAATTTTTGAACAAGAGGTGGCACAAAGCATCGACCAATTCAATAACTAGTCAAATCTCTTTATCCATACAAAAGAGCATAGTCAGTACTGTCCACTCAGATATAAATGGTTTGTTTACAAACCATGTGCAACAAACCTCGAGACATGAATACCGGCTGCAGGACGTGGTTCGCGTACGGAAATGCGCTGATCTAGCATCGTCTTGCTGCTTTCATCAGTAACCGCAAGTCATGAGCAACATTTACATTCAAGAACCGCCAACGAGCGGAAAGGTAAGGCCTTAAAGCACCCCCGTCCCTGGCCACTAGAGCGACTAACAGAAACAACCGATACCGATTAACCTAAAACACTTGCAGCATGCACGCGAGGGTATCTTTGGCAGGCTTGCAATCACTCAGAAGCCTGTCACTCAGAAGCCTGTCAGATACCTTCGCGTGCACGCCACGCTGCCTGTGATCGAAGCCTGTCGATGTCAGTTTCTGTTTGTCGCTCGCATAAGCGAACGTCGCGACCAAACGACTACCATGCTGTCCTTTACGAGCACCGAAATTAGTCCGGGAAGATGTCAGGAAAGTTTGTGAGTCAAAGCAGCAAAAGAAAAGAAACACATACTCAAAACTACAATGCCCAGTGAAGGTCGCTCGATCAACTGATTCCGGAAGCGACGACAACCAACAGCTCCTAGAAATAAGGCCGTAGCGCTCTTCGCGTGACGTCGCAAAGGAAGGCCATTGGGGGCGCGCGTCGAAGCGAAGGCAACGCGCGTGGATCGACCGTCGTTAGCTAAAATGAAAGCTGCACATAGCAATGGGTCTAGAAAACATTTTATTACACGGGAAAAACATTACACCGCTAAATAATCGGTACGAAATGGCACGAGGTACAGCGGCGTATACTTTCCATTTTCCCGGCGGGGGGGAGAAGAAGAAGAGGGGGAGGGGGGAGGGGCAGCAGGCTGAGAAGTTTTCGGGGGGGGGGGGGGGGGGGGTGGTCTTTCGGTGCAATTTTTTTTACACCGGCGATTATCAGTAGTTTATTTTTGGGGGTACATTTTACAGCGCATGTATATAGCCATGTGTCCGTCGCTGTGTGTCAATGTCAATCACCGTGCAAGCTTAGCCATGTCACATCCATGGCTTTGCATGCAGCTCTTCGCGGATGACTGCATCATCTATCGCTTCATTGAACGCGTTAAATTGTGACTCCACGACTCCGGTTCGGGTAACTCCGTCAGAGTCGCTACTAAACAGACTTTTGAAACAGCTCCGGACGGAGTAGGTGCCCTCTATATGAACTTCCAATTACTTTATTTATTTTATTTTTTTTTATTTTTCTGGTGGGACATTGCAAAATGGCAGGCTGCTGTGGAAGCAGACCAAGCAGACGTAGAAGTGATTGATGTTGCGTTACCTTCTTGACAGAGCTGGAGATTGAAGCTAGCAAAAGCACGCTCTGAATCCATTTCCCATGTATTTTGTCAGGGGCGTTATTTTGTTTACATGCCACTACTAGCAGCTCGTTACATGGCACGTAAACGGCGTCTCGGTAAGGATCATGGCCCGGGGGGGCTCTGCACCCCCCCCAGATCTCACCTGGGGGGGCACGAGCCCCGATGCCCCCCCGTAGTTCACTCCTATGAGGGGGTATGCGTAGAAGACGTCTAAAGAAAAATGTGATTGTTTTAAGTCGAAAACATTGAGTCACACAATTATTGCTGTAGGAATGCATATCTTATACAGAAATACTTCGACAAAATGGCGAGACACGCTGTGATTAGACACAGTTAAAAATCAGGTCGACGTAACGCGGACACGGCTCGACAAGTGTCACTTAATTACGATCATGTAAGCGATGTTACCGCGTGCAGTCACTGAATTAAAATTAATGTAATTTCAATCAAATGATAATATGGGGTCAACAAATCAGCTTGCGATGCTCGTATAATTGCTCAAGACAGCAAGCTGATTCAATCCCCTATCATTTCATGAAAATATATTAACTTTTCTGTGTGGCAGGGGTACCAAACTTCCTATTTATAGTCAACTAATTTACTTCTCCCCATGGGCTCGAGCTGTCTAAGAACAAAATATAACCTATTTTGTATACAATAATACTATCCCAGTTGAAAATTCCCATTAAGTTCCAATTGGAATTTTCTTATTGGTACCAATTGGTGACTTATTGGTACCAATTGGGTTTTTGGACAACCAATTGGTCACTGCCAATGGGAACCAACGGGAACCAATGAGAACCATTGGGAACCCATTCAGGTTCCAACTGGAAAAATAATTCCAATTGGTGAGACCCATTGGCCAGTGCGGTTCCAGCTGGAACCCGCTAAAACCAATTGGTTCCAGTTAAAACCAGTTGGAATTCCAATTGGATTTAAAGGGAATTTTCAGCTGGGATTACCTTAATACAGTTAAGACTCTAGTATAAACGTGGTAAAGCAGTAAAATAACATTAGTGTAAATAAATGCATAAGCACAAACAGCACACTTTCAATAATCACACAAACATGTTATTTACCTTCCAGTAAAAACTAGAATATTACCACGCATATTTACAAATGTCGACGCAATAGCACAAGGATAATGACGAAAAACAAAATTCCATTCTATCACAAAATTTAAAAAAAAAAAATGACTGCAGCACTTTATTTGCATCTTACATGACCAAGAAAGCCCATAAATAAGTTGTTTCTCACCTGTCGATCGTATCCATACGTCCCACAATATCCACCACGAAAACATTTGAACACAAACTTCAAGAAGTCTCTCTCTGTCGAGATGGAGGTCATCGACCAGCGTCATCGTTGACTAGTTGCAACTTGCCACGCACGTCACTCAAACCGTAGCAGGACCTGTTCCGCGAATCAACGTAAATGCCGTTATATTAAGCGAACACAAAAAAACTACCGGAGACTGCAATGACGACAGAAACACGACGGGATGGTAACAAGTCTGAAAAGAACCACCCATGAGAGCATCGGCAGCAGGGCGAAAGGCTTAATGTTGTCGACCCATCTCTTGCTCAGGTGCGCTCCTTGCGGCGATGACTGGATTTTTTTTCGGTTCCCTTCCCTTCTGAAATGTCTCAGCTTCCCTTTTCACACAGTCAGCAGCTCACACGCAACATAAATTTACCAGAATCGCAGCCCGTATGAGGGAAGAAAGAGTAGATTCGGAGACCGGAGCTGGTTCATTCAAAAAGTGTGGGGTTGCTGCGGGACTGCACGTAGTCCCGCGGTTACGGGGATAATCATAGATATAAATTTGGTACTTTCAACCTTGGTAACGCGTTGTACATTACGTTTATATTATATATATAATAAATTTTACAAAACTGTGCTTTTAAAACATATATTAATGTTGTATAAACGTGCACGAACACCACCGTGCCGCTTGACAAAAGCATTTTTTTCGCGTCTGTACCAGATATTTTTTCACGTAGTTGCACCATGGCCTTCCTTGTCCGACATTGTGACGTACCACTCGAAGTGCTACGGCCTTATTTCTAGGAGGTATTGTAGCAACCCCAGCGACTTCAGCGGCCGTAGCCGTACCAGCAAGGCATTGGTCACGATCGCTGCCCACGACCGGCTGCTTTATTGAATGGGAGATGTTCGTGTGACCCTTTCTTATCTTATTTTCTTAAAGTGAACCCCTTCCGAGTTTCAACCTTGGCTTAGATTTTCCGGTTAGAAGGTGAATCTTATCTTTTTGTTGTCCTCTTGTAATTTTCGAAGGAGTAAATCTATGCGCACTACGTCGTGCATCTCGACCGGAAATGGCTATACGCCCGACGCGTTGAGCTCGTGCCATTTGGGTCACCCTCTTCAGACAGCGTGTGTATGACTGGGGAGCACCTTAATCCTCCCCTCCTCCTGTGTTCACGCCGCTTTGTGGCGACAGTCTGCGGCTGCTAATTACAAACCTATTAAGCCCTCCGTACACCGCCGTCCAGCCGGCAACCCAAGCCCGCTATCCCCTTTTGCACCTCTGGAAAGGGAGTCACATACCACATAGTTTAGTGAGGTTTCGTCGACATCATGTGGTTTTTTTTTTACACTGATAATTGTGAAAAAGAAATGTCAATATCGCCAAATAATTGTAAAAAAAAAGTTTGAAAAAAAAAAAAAAAAAAAAAAGCTTACGCTGCGGACTGAATCAGGGTCCGCTGCGTATAAAGCAGAAACTTTTCCACTACGCTACGGCACTTTTTTTTCTTTCTTCATTGCATTACATTATGCCACCACTTCACAAACTAGTTTGAACTATTCGTTTTATACGAGACCCAACAAGTTTCGCGTCGTGTGTATAGCTTTTTCCGGTCGAGATGCACAACGTAGTGCGTATAGCTTTACTCTTTTCGAAGTGCTGTGCTATCGATAGCGTCCAACACTCTCGTTGCAGTGACACCCTCGTCAATTCTATGTGCTGGTTTTCTTGATGTACAGCTCAAATAAACACGGTATGGATTACCCTCGCATCTTGTGGTACACACACATAATTTTTCAAGTACTCACTGTAAGCAACTTAATTATTGTGAGGACCTAATTTTCGCAAATTTCGCAAATCGCCTACAATTCACGAAAAATAGGTCCCGCAAACAATACCGGTAAGCTGCAAACACAATGGAATCTATATTGAGATCCCACCGCGTCGCAAAAATTAGAACCTGCGAATTATTCCAAAACTTCAGCTTTGACCTAAATTGCGAAATATTGAGCCTGTGAAAAATAAGTTGTTGACAGTATGTTCCTTTTATTTTGAGGTTACGGTACAAACATCAACACGGATTAGGTTACAACATGTCTCGGGAGTCGGTAGTTACTCTAGTTACGCGGCACCGGACCAACACCTCTTTCGCCAAACTCACGTCAGCATTGAGAATGGAAAAGTTGCTGCAGAAGGTAGTGCAATGGTGATGCCGCACGTGCCAGATCATTCTATACTCAATGAGCTTTCACAAGCCACAGCAGCCTCAAAACCGCGTGAGAAAACTGGAAAAATAAAAAAAAAAACTGCAATCGGAATGCCAAGTTAGACGCCTGCGCAGTAGTCCTCACTATTGCTTTCTGTTTGCAGTATCTGTTTCCGTAAGACTGGAAAAGAAATAGAAAACTTTCCTCAAAAACAATGCCATCCCAGAATCTATCTGTTTTGTCACATGACAAGCCTCCGAAGACACTACAATCGACTTGGTCGGGGTCAGTACGATAACACGAAGATAGCTGGGTTGTTAGGTTTTGTTGCGTAGGCCGTGATGCTGCTGTTGTCGTGCTGCTTGTGTTTAATTTTGATGAGAAGTACAGCAAAAAGATTACGTCATAACACTAAACTCGCGTTCAAAATAGCAAATTAAATATGTGAATCGTGAGCAACACACCCCAACCTTCATGCGCAGAAGCAGTCATATGATACTTTTTTCTACGTCACAACAAGGCGCTGTAAGGTGGCCCCACTCCATGTTCTCTGGGCTAAAAAAGCTCGACGGCCGAAACCAAGATCTAAAAAAATAAGGAGATTCGGTCCTCTGGATTGGTTAGATTTTGGCCTTTCCTTTTGTATTGGGGACCATGGTACAGTGACTTCCTGATAGCCAGTGAAGCATTTGCTCTCTTTTGCTACCGCCGACTCTGCCTAGTCAGCTTAGCTTCACATATTCACCAGCACAGGCTTGACAGTGTTGCCAACCGCAACGTTGCCATGCTTTAGCTTTGCAGTGCTGCCGGCTGATCAATCTTCTCACCCTTCTTTGTGTGAACCATGACACCTCCTCTTCTCGGATTTCATCTACTCCAACCATCGACTAATGGTGCCATGCAGAACTCTCACTGTTCCTGATCTGTAACCTCTACACTATATGGTATGTGTCTCTTCGCTCATGGGACAGGGAGTGATCATGTGTGCAACGAACCCGACAAAGCTCTATTCCCGCATTTGTTCTTTGCTTTCCTGCGATAGGTGGTGGTAGAGAATAGACGACATTTGGCCTGTGATTTACTTGTTCGTTCGAGCGCATCCAGTGCTTCTTTGTCAACAAAAAACAATGTGCCTTCGAGATATTTCCTCCCTCCTTTCTTGGAGACTAAGTCCTCGTTTGTAATGAATTGGTTGATTTCAGAAAGCTGTCGAGAAGGTAAGACGGCCGTTGCTAGGACTAGCAGGCGACGCCGGCCGAACGCTGACCCTAATGCACCTGTCCCCTCTGTGCAAGGAGCAGGCAACGACGTTGCTCACTCTGATTGGACAGATAAAGTGAAAAGAGACCAAAGCAGCTAGCATCTCTGTCTGCTCACTATACTTGGAATCACAGCTCAGTGCTGCGACGTTACTGTACTCGCGGCGCAAGAAGCAGACGATTTCGCTTGCCACATAAGGATTTTTGTTTTATTTATTCTTAGGTGCTACTCAAGACCACAGTGGGCGACATCGACGTGGAGCTGTGGTCGAAGGAGACGCCCAAAGCGTGCCGCAACTTCGTCCAGCTGTGCCTCGACGGCTACTACAATGGCACCATCTTTCACAGAGTGGTCAAGGGGTTCATCGCCCAAGGTGGGGACCCCACAGGCACCGGCGAGGGCGGAGAGTCTATCTATGGAGCCCCTTTCAAGGTACTGTGGCTACTCTTGTGTACATTTCTAGCAGCACACAACGCAGTGCTTCCTATAGTCAGTGGCAGGTTAAGAATGGAGTAGATGCCCGCCTCCAGTGCAAGCATCCTGCCTGTGACAACACTTCGGCGCACGCACAGCCAAAGCCCACCAGAAGGCAATGTGTGCATGTTGGAGGCAGAATTTCTACTCCAGTCTTAGCTTGTCACCACCTGTAGTTAACCCCTTGCCTACTATTAGCGCGTGTCACTCGTGTCACCCTTTAGGGCCCACAAAGCCCGCCCCCGAGTGTGACTCGTGTTTCGGTTTTGACGCTTGCTTAGCGCACTCTCCGGCGGATGATAGCACCACCCTTGTTGCTCCACTTACCTTGGATTGTTTGCTCGTTTGTGTTGCTGTTTGACAGAAAAAGGGCACTCTATTGAGCCAAACATGCAACACTTAATTAAATTACATACACTTCATGATGAGATACAGCACGTCTAGGACAAGGACAGAGAGACGAGAAGACACAAGACAAATGCTGACTAGCAACTGCTTCTATGAAAACGCGCAGCAGCATCATGTAGTTTTGACGTTGACAGAGCTCGATTGGTCCATCACTGCAAAATACTCCAGAAGCCGAAAGACGTCGCAACTAAAATAAACACACCAATTTCACATAATGTAAGACACATTCCATTAGACATTTCACCTCCAATGCGGGAGGAATCTGCTGTTTTCTTACTGTTTGATGTATACCTACCGAAGGTACCTCTCGCATGGTAGGCGAAGTGTCCAGTGAAATGATTCAGGAAGCGCATGTCATAGGTTGAATTGCCATCTTCGAAGATTATCTTATTTTCTTTTCTCGAGCTCATTGTTGCTTATCCCCAGCCTAGCTTTTGTGATAAACCCGGCTCAGCTACTCTGAGTCACTAGCATACGATACTTGAATTAAAACGTTAGAACTTTGTAAGGGCATATCGCGAAACACTCTACAAAGTATGGACGCTAATCTAACAAGATTTACTTCTGTAGAGTTTTCTGCTACTGGCATTTCAATTAAATTAAAGGTGACAAGAAAACCGTAAATCATAGCCTGAGACGGCAGTTATTTTTCAGAAGAAAACAAGAGTTGGTGTTTTCGTACCAATAAAGATAATTTTCAACTAACCATCTTTTATACTGTTTCGCCGTGACTTATGAACATACATTTTAGAACCAGTGATGGAAGTGCTGCGCCATTTGTGCCAAATCGCACCATGAACGAAAGTCTGCTACATCCTGCGCCGAAATGCCATTTTTGCTAGGAATTGCGCCACACCGGCGCCGAGATGGGTTTAAAGAAAAAAAATTAATGTTTTATTATAGGTTGACTCTAATATTTGGAGAAGCAGAAGTAAAGAAAAATTGTACAAATATGAATTCCACAGCCTCTCTACTCACCGTATAGTTTGTTCAGTCTTTGGTCAGAGCGCAGTCGAACACTCGAACACATACAACCAGAAACACTCATACTAAAATGGCAAGTCACGGGACATTCGCTGCACTTGATTGGCTTAGCCAATGAAAGAACACGTACAAGGAGATGACAAATGCCACGACTTCGCGCTTTGATGCCACAAATCAACCGGCCAGAGCCGCTGATGCTGGGCATCAACCGCTCTGGCCGGTTGACGAGCTGGCTGGTTGATCGCCGACGTCGTCTAAATTTCCCGACGATGTCGTCGATGTCCAGAACTGAGGGTCCCGAGAAACATTATCAAAATAGTGCGATTGCTGATTGCGGCTACTGTGATAAAGCAGAACCAGGGTCTTGTACTCCTGATCAGGTCACTCGATTATCGTGTCTGCCAGACGCCTTTGTTTCGTGGCCGCAGAAGACCGTGGCACTTAGGTTGCTCGCTTCAACCTTCACTGCCTCTCACCAGCGTGCGCGCATCTTCACTGCTTTGCACCGGAGTGCTAGGAGCAGCGACTGAACTGGGGGAGCGCCTGGCGCGCTAGGCACGCAAATTATGCTCAGGACTATTACAAATCGACCTTCTTTGTCCCAATTGTAAGCTAATCTCTAATATATAAGAAAAAAGCGTGGTGGAGGCTGCGGGGCTTCAACGACGCAGCTGCGAAAAAAATTGCACCATGGGAATCAGGCTTATAACAATGTAAATATGTGGCGTGTTAACCTAGCATTTCCTTTTTCCTCTCGTTCGTATGATAGCCTTATCCAAGTGTTCTTTGTAAGTAAATAGAATTAAAAGATATGGGGAACAAAAAGGAACGCTGAGACATTTCAGAAGGGAAAGGAACCGAAACATCTCCACGTGGTGAATGATGTTGATTGGGGCGAAGCTCTGGTGGTGCTTGTCTGCGTAGACGCTGAGCCGCAGCATGCGAAGCCTTTCGTTCGTTCTCAACCATGTCACGTTGCGGTCAAATGCTCAAATGCGTATATTGCCGCGCGCGCTCGCCAAGTAGGCAGCGCGCGCGTGGCCTAATGGTTATCGCGCCTGCCTCCCACGCGAAAAGCTAGGGTTCGAATCCTGGAGCGACATGTCTTTTGTTTATTCCTCTAATTTAGTGTTCTGGAGAATTCGAGAATCATGTTGCTTGTTCCAGGCCCGAATGTTCCACGCGTCGAAGTTTCTTCGCCGATTATTCCAGAAGACCACGCATGTACATAAGGGGCTCCGCGTGGCGAGCCGCAGCCAGTTTTCGCCCCAGCGTTCGACTGTGCTGCTACGCCGACTTCGACGCCCGCGACGCTCTGTTATTATCTTTGTACCCTTTTAGTTTTTGGCACAAGTTCGCCACATTAAACGTTTCTTTCTTTCTGTTTATTTAGTGTTCCTTTGGTCACCACCCGTGACGTTTTGGTAGAGGTGCGGGGTAACCGCATGCCCGTGCAGCGCTCCCCTCCGAGTTCTCGGAGTGCAAGTCCGAACACAAGCCCCCAAGAACCCAACGAGGACCAGACCGAGATCCGATTAAGTCGCCGGAACCTTGGCCTACCCCCGGAGTTAGGACCCTTGCCACCCAGGACCAGGCAAACAAGGAGGACGACGATGGCCAACCAGTCGGAGACCCCGGCCGCTCCAGCCGTCGTTTACCTGCCCGTCGTACCGCGGACGGCTGCTCCATTCCACGGCGAGCAATACGAAAACGTCGAAGACTGGATTGACCAGTATGAACGCGTTGCCCGCCACAATTGCTGGACCGACGAGCAGCGCCTGAACAACGTCTATTTTTCGCTTGAGGGTACCGCCAAGCACTGGTACGAGAATCATGAGTCCTCTTTGACGTCGTGGGACATGTTCAAGACCGATCTCAAGGCTACGTTCAGCAACCACCACCGCCGAGAGAGAGCCGAGGACCTACTGCGAACCAGAACCCAGGGCCCCAACGAGAGCGTCACCGGCTTCGTCGAGGATGTTCTTCGCCTGAGCGCCCGCGCCGATCCTCAGGCTACAGAGGAGAAGAAGCTGCGACACCTGATGAGGGGTGTGAAAAGCGAGATATTCGGAGGTCTCATTCGCAATCCCCCGACAACTGTGGACGGGTTCGTCACGGAGGCGACGAATATGGAACGTGCCCTACTAGCACGCGCCAGGCACTACGAGCGACACCCTGGCGTGACTACTCAGGCGACATCCGGATACCACCTTGGTACCGACCTCCCAGGCATCCGTGACATCATCCGTGAAGTTGTCCGGGAAGAAATCCGCAAGATGCTCCCCGCTATGGATCGCCCGTCCTCCCTGTCGCTCGCCGAGGTCGTGCGAGATGAAGTTCATCGGACCTTCCAACCTGAGGTTCCGATCAACATGACGACACCAGAGGAGCCGACTTTGAGCTACGCCGCCATGGCCCGACGACCGCCGCAAGCTAACCGCCAGGCCACGGCGCCACCCCGACGAGACCCTCCGATGCCACAGTATCCTCGACGCCAGGAAGGGCAAGTCCAGGACGTCCGCCCGGAGCAACCCTCGTCGAGGAAGACCGACGTGTGGCGAACGGCCGACCGACGCCCGCTCTGCTACCACTGCGGGGAACCCGACCATGTGTACCGCCGATGCCCATACCGACGACTCGGGCTGCGCGGGTTCCACCCAAACGACCCGCGCCCCCGGTATGGTGAACGCCCTCGGGAGATCGACGAGTACCTGCGACGACCCCAGTCCCCCGAGCCTGCGTCCCGCCGAGAGTTCCGGTCGCCATCGCCGCGACGTCCAGCTTCGCCGATGCACCGACCCCGACGTGAAAGCCTGTCACCCCTCGCTCCTCGCCGGGGAAACTAGGCGCGGCAACCCCTGGAGGTGGAGTTGCCGAAGACGACCGACGTAAAGAGCCTCCAAGAACGACGGAGCGCTCCCACTCCCCCGACGCCACGCATCGCTACGACGCCCCTGCAACGGTGTCCAACAACCTAAACGTCGTCATTGACGGCCACGACGCATCCGCACTCGTGGACACCGGAGCAGACTACTCAGTCTTGAGTGGGAGGCTCTCCCGCCGCCTTCGAAAAGTCATGACGCCGTGGGAAGGACCCCAAATACGAACCGCCGGAGGACATCTCATTACACCAGTCGGGAGATGCACTGCTCGCGTCGAGATCCACGGTGAAACGTGCCCTGTCAGGTTCGTCATTCTACAAGACTGTTCGAGGGACGTTATCCTCGGAATGGACTTTCTCTGCGAGTATGGCGCCGTCATCGACCTCGGAACAAACCGGCTGACGCTACGAAAACCTGCTCCACCATCGGAGGAACCCCAAGCGACGTCACCCACGGTCCGAGTCCTCGCAAACCACGTAAACCTACCATTGCGGTCGAGTGTTTTCGTACTTGTCGGGATCGATGAAGCTTTCTATGGTGAAGTTCTTCTCGAGGGAAACCTCCAATTGCTCCTGGGAAGAGGCATAGGCGTCGCAAGGGGAGTAGCTGAACTTCAGGATGGGCGGACTGTGGCCCTCGTGACGAACTTCCGAAACGAAACGCAACACCTCACGAAAGGTGCAG